CATGTGGCAGCTCACAACTCCAGTTCCAGGGTATCCAACACCCTTATACAGACATACATGCAGGCCAAACACCAATCAATGCTCATAAAATAAATAAATAAATAAATAAATAAATAAATAAATAAATAAATAAACAAACAAACAAACAAGCCTGGCGGTGGTGGCACATGCCTTTAATCCCAGCACCCGGAAGACAGAGCTAGGTGGATCTCTGTGAGTTTGAGGCCAGCCTGGGCTACAGAGCTGGACAGACTCCAAAGCTACAGAGAGAAACCCTGTCTTGAAAAACCAGAAGAAAAAAAAAAAAGGAAAGAGCTCCTTTATCAGAGTGACTTTGTCACAGCCTCCCCAGCTTTGTGCTTCAGAATGGCAGGGAGGAGAGGAGGAGGAAGGGGGAGGGATGGAGGAGGGGAGCTCACCTGTCCTGTGCCCTGCCCTGCCCTAGATCACAATGAGAACAGTGGAGCAAGCCAGCCCGAAGGAGAGCCCTGGCCTGACATCGAGACCTTCAGCAAAATGCCTTTTGACGTCAGTGTGCACGACCCCAAGTACAGTCTGATGAGCCTGGTTTACACTGAGAAGCTGGCTGGGGTCAAACAAGGTCAGTGTATGCAGAGCCAGGCTCTGAAGGTGAGGGGACTCTAAATCAGGGCTTGGGGTGGGGGAGGGAGACAGTCCACTCCTTTGAGAAGAGTGCAATAATTCTGTTTTCACTCTTACATACGAACACACACATACATCTTGATTTTTAAACTTACTTATCAGGGCTGAATTTATAAAGTCCTTGGAGAAGTCTGTATGGGAAATGAGCATTTCTTTCCAAACTTTATATGTGTATCATGGAGATAACAGTTTCTCATGCCTTGTACACAGAAGTAATAAAGGAATACAAAGTTGAGGAGCCCCAGAAACGAGAAACCATGTCTATTATGCTGACCAAGTACGCGGCCTACAACACCTTCCACCACTGTGAACAGTGCCACCAGTACATGGACTTCACGCCCACCTCCCAGGTGCAGCCCGCTTTGCCCTCCCTGGGACCCTGTGGCCAGTATAGCCCTTGTAGGTACCGGGGAAAAGGGAGGATGAAACCAGAGACTCCTGGCTTCGGGCTCTAGAGAAACAGAGTGTAAACCATTGCTCAGCATTGTCTCTTCCTCCGACTTCCTTTTTAGTACAGGAACTCACTGCTCCAGGTTGGCCTCAAATTCACAATCCTCCTGCATGCTGAATGGAATTGTAGGCATGCCTAGCATGCCTGGTTTTATTTTGTCATATTTTGGGCATTAGGGATACATCTCAGGATCTTGCAAATGCTAAATATGCATTCTAGCACCTCCAGCCCCTTTGGCGTCTTTACACAGAGAAGGAGGAAACAGCAGTGTTGATAGTAACACTCCTTCCTGCTTTGGGGGAGAAACTCTATGTCATTCCCCCATTTCTCTTCTTGAGTTTTATGTCTTGGCACTGAGTACCTGGGACCCTGTTGCTTCTAGGCTGTGCTGAGAAAATTCCCCAAACCAGCTTCTTAGGACCACACCTCACCTTGAAAGCACATCCTGAAATTTAATGGGTGCTAGAAAGAACACCTTGAAAACTGGGCTACAGGTTACCTGTAGTATCCATTTGTTTTCTTGGAGGCCCACTAGTCTGCTGACAATTCTTTTAATTAAGTGGTGTGTGTGTGTGTGTGTGTGTGTGTGTGTGTGTGTGTGTGTGTACACATACATGCAGGAGTTGGTTCCCTCACACCACCATTGTGGGCCCTGGGATCAGTGGCAAGCCCTTTCCCTGTTGAGCCACCCCACTGGCCCCGTTCACAAGTCTTCATAGGACAGAGAAGACACAAGTGCCTTGGCCTGTAAATTATAGGTATTTAGGAATTTTCCGCATAAAAATCCCTCTTGACTAGTTTCTGTGAGATTACAATACAAGTAATATATCTCCACATTTGTGATGTAGAACAAACTAGAAGGAGAACTTTTAGAGGAAGAACTTTATTTTTCTGAAGTGTAATATTTAGGTTAAAACTATTAGGAAAACTACTTGGATTTTAGGTGCTGATGAAAATTTGTTATCCTTCCATTAAATCAATTATTGGCTTCATTGTACAGCCCAAAAAGAGCGATTTTATAATTATACATGGAGATGGGTTCCTGGGCAAGTGAATGTCCCAGCAACCTTTACAACAGGTTAGATTATATTGGCTTTTATGAGTCACATGGTCTTTCCCTGATGTCAGAGTTCTACACTAAATGTTGGAAATGCTTCATTTTCCATTATAACCAGAAAAGATGGCACCACGGGCACATTTTAAATTCTAGCCCTACTCTCTAAGTGCTGGAACTTAATGTATTCAGTCTGACTCACAGAGCAGAAGAGTCCTCTGTAACTGAGGGCTTTAGGGAACATGTGTGTATCAGGGCAGCCCATAGGGATCTTATCTTTGAGACTGAGCATCTGTCAAGGTCCTGAGCTGATGAGGAATAAAGACAGACAATGCCAAGTGGGACTTAACCCTTGCAGAGGCTTCATCAGGGCTCCACACTGCCCTGCATCAGTGACAGTCAGTAAATGATAAAGCTTTTACACATTGCCAGTCACAGCCAGAATGTCTGGTGGCACTTATTCTTATCAGTTGCTCGGGTCAAAAATCTAAAAGAATGGCCTGGAAGTTTGGGACTCGTATATTGACCATCCCTCTCTTTCTTTTTTTGCAAATCTAGATGTCTGACTCCACCCTTCATGCATTCACATTTTCTTCTTCTATGCTGGGAGAAGAAGTCCAGCTTTATTTCATCATTCCCAAGTCCAAAGAGAGTCATTTTGTCTTCAGCAAGCAGGGCAGACACCTGGAAAGCATGCGGCTGCCTCTGGTTTCGGACAAGGTGGGCTAGAGCTTTTGGGTGTGAGGGTTGCTGAGCCCTCGTTAGGGTTCCCCAAGATGCTCATATCTGCCCTAGGTGGGGTCCCCAATATACTCACATCAGAGAGTTTTACTCTTCCATTTTCCTCTTGTTTGTCTTCCTTTTGCAGAATCTAAATGCAGTCAAGAGCCCCATTTTCACCCCTTCCAGCGGCCGGCATGAACACGGACTCCTAAACCTTTTCCATGCTATGGAGGGCATCAGCCATCTTCACCTCCTGGTGGTCAAAGAATATGAGATGCCACTGTACCGGAAGTACTGGCCCAACCACATCATGCTGGTGCTGCCTGGCATGTTCAATAATGCAGGCGTGGGTAAGGGCGCCCTCGGGGCGGGAGGAGGCCTGAGAGGAAAAGCACAGCTCATTCCCTTGGTTTGCATCTCCAGAGGTTGCCTCTGGGAATTGCCCTGCCCTCCCAACCACAGGTCTTTTGATTCTGAGCTCTTCCTTCTCTCTTGTTCTGTGATTTTGTAGATCCTAACATTATTGTTCAATTTTGCAGAATTTTTAACTTCTGAGGGCTAGTAAGTACTAAATCACTGGAATATTGAACACCTTGTGTGGGACAGGGAATCTTTCTAGTATAGACTCCCAATGTTCCCAGGCTGGACGTTCTAGGGCAGAATGTATCCATGAGAAATATATGGATGGGAGGTGATGATGTATCTGATTTAGAGGGTCCCCTACTGTGTCTCCTGCTAGGGGCATAAGGCAAGTTCTAGTCCAGTCAAGGTATTGGAAGCATCTATGTTACTGAAGCATTTTAATTAATTTAATTCTTGTTTGGTAAGGGTACAACTCCAGTTTTTCGTGTGGCTATCCATATGTTCCAAAAGACATTTTCCCCATTGAATGGCATTGGCACCCTTGTCATATACGAGAGGGTTTATTTCTTGGCTCGCTATATATCTGTCTTTATATGTCACTACCTTTACCGTGTGGCTTTAAGTTTTGAAAGGAAGAAGCATAAAACCTGCAACTTTTAAAAACTTCAGAAATATTTGCATACTTGTATGGACTATAATATGATAACATATGTAACATATAATCAATCAGAGTGTACACACTTTCTTTAAATAGGAATCACTTTTATGTGTTTGGAGTTTTGTATTCTCCCAGTCGTTTTGAAATGTATCATGTATTGTTTTAATCAAGTTAATCAGTGATGCTATGGAAAACTAGAATTGACTCTTCCTGTTTGGTGCTCTTTGCTGGACTTGCTCCCACCCCCTTCCTCGATGCCCCGAACAGACTTTACTGAGCTTCTTCCACTGAACACTTCTCAGATGGTCTCTCCTTCTGTTCCTGGCTTACACGCTCTCCACTTTCATCCACGCTGCTACAAGTGACAGGATTCCTTTTTTTTTTCTTTCTTTCTTTTTTTCAAGACAGGGTTTCTCTGTGTAGCCCTGGCTATCCTGAAATTGCTCTGTAGACCAGGCTGGCCTCAAACTCAGAGATTCGCCTGCCTCTGCCTCCTGAGTGCTGGGATTAAAGGTGTGTGCCACAATACCCAGCTTTTCTTTCTTCTTTTTTTTTTAACAAGCCATTTTTTTTTGTTGTTGTTCATTTCTTGCATTTGAAGTACTTACTGACATCCTTAGCCTGAGATTCTTTATCACAGTCTGTTAGAAAAGTCTACATGTTGTTTACTAAGGTTTTCAAGATTCAGTTCTCTGGGCTGGAGAGAAGGCTCAGCGGTTAAGAGCCCTGGCTGCTCTTCCAAAGGTCCTGAGTTCAATTCCCAGCACCCACATGGTGGCTCTCAACCATCCATGAGATCTGCTGCCCTCTTCTGGCCTGCAGGCATATATGCAGGCAGAACACTGTGTACATAATAAATAAATAATTTTTTTTGGTTTTTCGAGACAGGGTTTCTCTGTGTAGTTTTGGTAACTGTCCTAGATCTCCCTCTGTAGACCAGGCTGGCCTTGAACTCACAGAGATCTGCCTCCCAAGTGCTGGGATTAAAGGCATGTGCCACCGACGCCTGGCCTCAAGATTCATTTCATAGAACTAGTTACAGTTAAAGTCTAACTGAAAGTTTATAAAAACACTTTTCAACATTACAATACTGTAGCCATTTTTATGGACCAAAAAGACTTTAGTTGTTCTTAAGGTTCACAATATGGCATCACTGTTACCAGATTTTTTCAGAAGTTCTGAAGAAACACGTTCAGGTAGGCAGACTAATTAGCAAATTTAGGATTCCATTCTTTTTATGGCCAAAAATATTCTGTGTTCTCATACTGTCTCTATCTGTGGGAATCTAGATTGACCCCATTATTGAAGGTGTTGTGAATAGACACAAGGCTGCAAGTGTCTCTTCAGTATAATGGTTCTGTCTCTTGGACATACACCAACCAGTGGATTTGCTGGATCACATGGTACTTCCAGTTTCGGTATGTTTTAGGTTGGACTCTGCACGTTTTCTGTAATAGCTGCTCCACTAACATATAGGAGATCCTTTCCCTCTGCCCCCGTGTCAAAGTCGTTAAGTCACTTTAATGTCACTTTTAAAGTCACTTTGGCATAGTCACTGAGGTGAGATGCTATCACTGCAGTTTTGAGTTGCATTCCTTGATGATTGGTGATACTGAGCATTTTATGTTCTTCTAGGCTATTTGGAGTCTGTGTTGTTTAGACATCTTGCTAGGTAAACATGCCCAGTCTAGAACTGGTGATTTTCCTGTCTAAACTTCTCAAGTGCTAAGAGTAAGGTTGTGCACCATCATTCCAAGCCAGCCCAGTTTTTCTTCCCCCTTTTTTATTTATTTTTTTTTTTGAGACAGGCCTTGAACTCAGAGATCCACCTGCCTCTGTCTCCCAAGTGCTGAAATTAAAGGCGTGCCCCACCACCGCCTGGCTACAGCCCCTTTCTAACTGCATTATTTGCTATTCAGATTTTTGAGCTCCTTATACACTCCAGATAATAATCCCTTGTTGGATCAATAATTTGCAAATGTTTTGTCCCATTCTGTATGCTGTCTCTTATTTGTGTAGGTTGTCTTATCTCTGTTGATTATTTCTTTGCTTCAAAAGCTTCTTAGTTTAATATAGTCTAACTTCTCTATTTTCACCTTTTGAGCTATTTGAAAAACAAAATCATTGCCTACATCAGTAAGACCTCCAATTTTATTGCAATTTGAGGTGCCCTCAGATTTCATTAAGGATAGATTTTTTTCCATTTCTATGAAAAAAATTGGTAAGTGCATAAAATTACTAATCTGTTGTTGTTTGTTTCTGCTTTTTTTGGGAGCTCGATACTCAGCTCACAAATAAACCACACACAGAAGCTTATTCTTACTTATAAATGCCTGGCCTTAGCTTGCCTTATTTCTTGCCAGCTTTCTTAACTTTAAAATATCCCATCTACTTTTGCCTCTGGGCTTTTACCTTTCTCTGTTTCTGTGTACCTTTCCTTCTTATTCCATGGCTTGTTATGTAGCTGGGTGGCTGGTCCCTGCGTCCTCCTCCTTCTCTGGCTACTTCTTCCTTGTCCCCAGATTTCTCCTATATATTCTCTCTGCCTGCCAGCCCTGCATATTTCTGTCTCCTACCTTGCTATTGGCTGTTCAGCTCTTTATTAGACCATCAGGTGTTTTAGATAGGCACAGTAAAACAGCTTTACAGAGTTAAACAAATAAAACATAAACAGAAGTAACACATTTTAAAATAATTATTCCCCAACATTTCCCCCTTTCTTTCTGAAAAATGAAAGGTTTAACTTTAACATAGTAAGACTGTATACAGTAAGAACAATTATCAAGTAAACATTACATTCACAATGTAATAAATTCCAATTTATTTGTGTCTGGTAAATTTAACGAAAATACTCCATAATCTACGTATTTTAGTAAATCCAAAATTTTATGCCTAATTTACTTTCTATCATATTTAAGGAAAACTGAAACTATATCAAGTCTTCAACTCCATCAAAGGCCCCAGAAGGATATAGTATATTTTAAGTAAACAAAAAGTGCATTGCAAACAATTTCCAAAAACTCTAGATGACAGAGACATCTGACTGCCTGGACAGTCACTCAAAGTTCCTCTGCAACATTGGGGCATCCATCTTCAGCCTACAGGCCCATAGTATCTGGAAGACTTTTCAGTGAAGCAGAAAATTTGAAAGACTGTCCCACCTATATTGGCAAAGTTTATCAGTCATTTTCCTCTGTGTCCTGCTGATTGTCTGGCAGTTTCTTCTGTGAAGCAGGAATCTTGAAGGACTATCCTGCCTTGTTTTGGCAAAGTTCAGTGGTCACTTTCTTGTGGGTCCTGCATGTCCAGTTTATACAACATACCATCAAGCAGTCCAGGGAAGAACAGCTTCTTGCCCAAATGGCTAGCCTTGCCACATTGAAAGCAAACTCCATAAGGAATTTCTTCAATGCCCACCATCTCTGAAGTAAATTGGTACTGCCAGGAGCAGATGTGTCTCATTGTCATAAAAAACCCTAAGTTAACAAAACATTTTAAATGCCATACTCTGTAGGCCTTTGAAAAGTTTGAAGACCATCTATCTTAAATATCTCTCTATGTGATCTGGAAAGCATACCTAACATAAGTACAATTTTGGTTGTTATAAATGACTAACCACTAACCTATATTTCCTGATTATCCTATATAGTTTATAATAATAGTTTTCAAAAACTAGAACTTCACCCTACATTTCCAAATGAACTGCATAGGCACAATACCTCAAACAAAAATAGAAACATACATACAATATGTTGTAACAAAAATTACCTTAAATTTTTATCAATATACAAAAATCCCCCAAACAAGAACAGAAACATACATACAGTGTGTTGCAACAAAAATTACCTTAAATTTGTGTCAATATACAAAAGTCCTTACAAATACAAAATATTTGAGATCAATAGTTGTCTTTTAGTTTATAGTAGAGTCAATAATCTACCCTATTATTTAAAGTAGATTCAATAATCTACCCTTCTATCTTATCATTCCTATATTTCCCTAAATATAACTAACATCCATAACCCACAAAAAAAGACCACCCCCACCCCCCAACTCTTGAGAATGTGGGCATAGTTTTCTCCATACTGCTTCCTGCTGTCTGTGGACAAAGGCATCTTTAGGGTCCCAGAGAGAAAATTTGAGATAATGACCAAGTCCTGGGAAGACCAGCAATAACCTTTGATGGTAGATATCACCTCTCAAAGTTCAGGAGGTCTCCCTTGATCACACCTGATCCATATATTCCTACAGGAATCCACAGCCTCTCATTTCCCATGGGAACAAAACTCCAAAGCATTTTTGATTTCCATTTGACAAATATATTTTTTTACTTCTTTTTTAATGTTAAAGCATCCCTTAAAGTGTCTAGATTGGTTGAGTTTAGCAGTCCAGTTCACAATCCCATGTCTCTTAGCAGCTACTGTTTGCTTATTAGCATTCAAAAAATTCAAAGTCAACACAGTACTATATAGGATCCAGAATCCCTGTGTATTTCCTATCTTTGTGTGGCTTTTTCTTTTTTATTTTACTTCTCTCTATAAAGACTTTATTAAACTCTTTCTTTCTGTAACTGTTCATACCCTTTTCTTTATTTCTTAAGCCTGTGCACATTGTAAAACACACTGGAACCTGTTCAGGGGTTTTTTCTATCTGGATCGCTTTTACTGCATATTCTTTAGTCTTTTTTGACCATGTAAGCAAACCTTTAAACTGCTAACCTGGACCCTATGCATGCAGCTCTCAGCTGGCTCTGCCCACTTCTGGGCCAGTGAAAGCAAAGCCTAAAGCTTGCGGCCTGGTAGGAGGTGCTTGACCAGGAACTGCATTCAACCTTACTAGCTATGGGAAGCCACAAGCATTTTTATTTACCTTGCTGTTTCTATTTAGTGCTACCAGCTGAACATCAGCACGTCTTAAATGAGCCATGTCCGTCCTTCCTTTCTTTCTTCCTTTCTTTCCAGCTTTCTTAGGCCCTACATGGAAATCCACCCCATGTTGGGTGCCAGAATGTTGTTTTTTATTCTTTTGGGGGGGCCATCACACACAGAGGCTTATTCTTACTTATAAATGCCTGGCCTTAGCTTGCCTTATTTCTTGCCAGCTTTCTTAACTTTAAAATAACCCATCTACTTTTGCCTCTGGGCTTTTACCTTTCTCTGTTTCTGTGTACCTTTCTTTCTTATTCCATGGCTTGTTATGTAGCTGGGTGGCTGGTCCCTGCGTCCTCCTCCTTCTCTGGATTTCTTCCTTTTTCCCAAATTTCTCCTATATATTCTCTCTGCCTGCCAGCCCTGCATATTTCTGTCTCCTACCTTGCTATTGGCTGTTCAGCTCTTTATTAGACCATCAGGTGTTTTAGATAGGCACAGTAAAACAGCTTCACAGAGTTAAACAAAATGCAGCATAAGCAAAACACACTTTAAAATAATATTCCCCAACACTGATCTTTTGAAGAATGGTTATCTACAAAACATGTTTGTAACTATGAACATTGGTCATCTTTCTATTTATTGGCATATCTTTTTATTTTCTTCATCAATATCTTGTGTTTCTCACTGTACTGTCTTTTGCCTCCTAAGTAGTCTACCTTTTCATGCTATAATGGAACTAAATTCCTGAGACCGTTCCTTTTAAATTCTGAATTCTCTCTCATTCTCTCTGTCTCTCTGTCTCTGTCTCTCTCTGTCTCTCTGTCTCTCTCTGTCTCTGTCTCTGTCTCTCTCTGTCTCTCTGTCTCTGTCTCTCTCTTTGTCTCTCTCTCTCTCTCTCTCTCTCTCTCTCTCTCTCTCTCTCTCTCAGACAGGGTTTCTCTTCTTGTATAGCTTTGGAGCCTTTCCTGGAACTTGCTCTGTAGACCAGGCTGGCCTCAAACTCAACAGAGATCTGCCTGCCTCTGCCTCCCAAGTGCTGAGATTAAAGGCGTGCGCCGCCGCCGCCACCACCACCTGGTCTGAATTCTCTTATTTGTTCTAACAGTTTTCTGTGTATTTTCTCCATGTATGATATATTGTCAGGGAGCAACATTTTACTATTTCTGATTGAGATCATTTTTCTTTTCTTTTTTTTTTTTTTTTTGGTTTTTCGAGACAGGGTTTCTCTGTGTAGCTTTGTGCCTTTCCTGGATCTCGCTCTGTAGACCAGGCTAGCCTCAAACTCACAAAGATCCGCCTGCCTCTGCCTCCCAAGAGCTGGAATTAAAGGCGTGCACCACCACCGCCCA